TTTACATCCAGACAAAAATATTATCGATAAGTATGTGGCCAAGTTGATAACAAAATATGAAGAAACTGGATCTGTGTTTCGCTAACTTTCACAAGCTTTTTAGAAATATGGACTTAACCAATCCAAGCCAATTATATTAAATAGTCATTTATAATTAAGGTGGATTACTTTAAAATTCGGATTTTTGTTCAACATGCTGCAAGGTTTTCCATAAAAGCATCTAGATAAAAGCTTTCATAGATTGCAAGCCGAAATTTTGAAACAAACAGCTAAAGAAAGACTCTGTGATACCTTCCAAGATCTATATAAAAATTTAGAAATAACACGCTGGAGGTCAGTCGAAACAGATCCCTTTTTTAATCAGATACAAAGATTGGCTCAATTGCATAATGAAACTTACAAGAAAATCAATCACTAGAGGTCGACCAAAATCTAGTTTCGTTGATAGCTCTGAAACAACCAACAGATTAAAAACTTTGGAACTACGAAACAGCACCAGCGCTCAAAAATTGATGTATTCAGTACAAATGAAATTAAGAGCACAATGCAAATTTAATCAAAGCTCTATTTAACCTCCGTTTCGGTCTTTCACACACCAATTTTTATAGAGCTTTTAGGTAGGCTATAATCGTATCGTATTTTCTTGTTTGTTATGTTTGAAATATATTTCCCTGCTTTTTCAAAGAAACCTTCTTATTCGGCAATCACTATAATATACTAAGTGGCATATAAATCCGAACACCCAGTTTAAATGGTTTTATTTTAATAAAAGTTGGTGAATGTATTTATCTTACTGTAAATAACAAGTGAAAAAATTTTCAGCGTTATCAGTTGGACATTCCGGTTTTTATACTGCTTTTTTTTAATTCACTAACGCTCTAAAAATGAATATTTCAGCCGCAGTAAAGAATCAACGTTGGCGGATTTTGGTTCTTGACATCCTTTACGATGGGTTACGATGCCTAGAGTACGGAGACCTGTACGATTTCGTCAACTTAGTGAGTTTGATAGGGGCCGTATAGTGGGACTTCGGGAAGCTGGACTTTCTTTTCGGGCAATTGCAGTTAGAGTGCAAAGAAGTGTGGTTAGGTGTTGTCAGGCATGGCTTCGAGAAGGCCGTACGCAAAGAGCAAGGGGCACTGGACGCCGCCGTAGAACAACAGACCGTGAAGATCGCCGCCTAAGATTATTGGCCTTAAGGGACCGTTTCTCCACTACCAGGTCCATTGCAAATGAATGGTTTGCAGAACACGGAAGACCTATTGGCATGCGAAGTGTTTACCGACGAATGAGAAGTTTTGGCTTGTTTTCATACCGGCCACACTGGGTCCTCCCTGTAACTCGAGAACACCGACGTAATCGCCTTGAGTGGTGCAGACAACGGTCACTCTGGGATCAGGAATGGAACAGTATTGTCTCTAGTGACGAGTCTCGATTTTGTTTAGGCATGCACGATGGTCGTGCCAGGGTTAGAAGGCGACGTGGTGAAAGGAGGAATCCACAGTTTTTTGTTGAAAGACATGTTCATCACACTGCTGGAGTTATGGTTTGGGGTGCTATAGCTTATGGTTCCAGGTCACCTTTAATCTCCATCAGAGGTAACATGAACGCGCAGTTCTAGAACCCCATCTTTTACCCTATGTTGACACCCTGACAGATCCAACTTTCCAACAAGATAATGCCCGACCACATGTTGCAAGAGTCACAATAAACTTCTTTCAACATAATGATGTCAGATTGTTACCATGGCCACCAAGATCTCCCGACTTATCCCCAATTGAGCACGTGTGGGATATGATGGGTAGGAGATTGCTCAATTTGCAACGTCCTCCTCAGACTCTAGAAGCACTTCGAGAGAAGTTGGTGGTTGCCTGGAATGAGATACCACAGGAGGACATTGACCACCTGATCAGAAGCATGCCTAGGCGCGTTGAAGAATGCGTAGCACATCAGGGTGCACCCACACATTATTAAAGGTCAAAGGGCTTTAAAGCAGTGCAATCATTTTGAAATTTTTATCATGTACTTATTATGCTTCATTAAGTACTTATACAAAATTTTAGTAAAATAAAACCATTTAAACTGGGTGTCCGGATTTATATGTCACTTAGTATATTATAAGCAATCACTATAATATTATAATGATCATATCTCCTATCTAACATCATATCAGCTTATTTCAAGGATCTGACGTTTTATTGGATTCGCGATATTGAATTTCTGTTTTTTTTTTACAGCAAATTTGAAACCAGCCACCTCAAAAACTATTCTACACCCTTTCGAAAGACTGCTACATAAGTTATATTTTTGCCAGGCCTTTTGACAGTAGTATCTTCAAAAAATTACTCAATATCCGCAATTTGAATCAATGATTCTGTTCACGGACGAAGCTAATTTTTTCTCGAAATGCCATTCAGAATTTCCACAATAATCATTTGTGGGCATCCAAAGAGTTATACGCTTTACGTTTAACAGTGCCGTAAGTTCAAGTTTGAAAATAGTGAGTGGCAGGGTCCTGAGACTGTTTGGCAATCCGTTGAACACACTTAGCACCCATGTCACTAAAGTGGCCTGTTGTCGAGCTTGTACAGCCACCATGCAAGCATCGGTACTGAAGTATTCCTTGACGCGTATCGGAACATGCACCACGGCCCCGCTCAGTAGGAGATATTTAAGCAATGTTTCAACGCGTTTTTATTTACCCGAGGAAAAGGACCTTTGAAAAACAAAAGTCTAAGGAATTCCCGGGATATATTTTTAAAGTTGTTGCCCCACCACTAAAGCCTGAATAGGATATCACACTAGTCAAACCAAAAACATTAAATTGACTCATTTATATTTTTGTTCCCTGTGTACGGCTTTCTCTAGAAGCATCCTCGTATCTAGGAGCTTCTCAATTGGTATATTTTGCTAATTTCTCATTACATCAGACTTAATTTCGGTATTCAAAATATTTGTGCGAACGGATAACTTTAAAGCGTCTTCGGTAGTACTTGCAATAAAATTGTTAATGTTTATCGTTAAGTTCGATTTGTACACCATCAGTAGCATACATAAATATAGTACTGGAAATCGCTGCTTATAAACGTCTAATGCAAAATATCGTTATTATTGCAAAAAAAGAACACGTGTATGAACTTTTAGTTTATTGTCTATCATTTTTATTTTTGTTTATGTGTACGTTACGAAATAATAATCGCTAAAATGATAAATGAGATAACAGGATTTTCTTTTGGCATGTTCTGCGTGTCGTCACATTGATAAAAATTGTTAAAACGGTGATTATACTGATGGTACCATACGATTCTTAAACGAAGTAAGAAGAAATTTCATTCCGTAATACTAATAGCATATCTAGTAGTACCCATTATTTTTTTAATATTCTATTTTGAAATATTCTTCATTTTTTCAAATCAGCATATTGAGTTAAAGTAAATGTTGCATTGTAAGAGCTACCTATCTGCTAAATTTGCAGTTACACAATCAGTTCTTATTTTAAGTCTACTTTAAACAGAACCTCATCGTTGCCAATTTTTAGATATTACAAAACTCCCATCAGTTTCAAACAAACTTGCAATCCGTCCTTGGCTGAAATGTCCTGTCCATAAACTGCCTTCCTGCCAAAATTCATGTTTATAGGTCGAATATTTTTCGATATTTCGTGATTAATGTGCATCTTTTCGCTCTTTCATATACTAAGTGACATATAAATCCTGACACCCAGTTTAAATGGTTTTATTTTAATAAAATTTTGTATAAGTACTTAATGAAGCATAATAAGTAAATGATAAAAATTTCAAAATGATGGCACTGCTTTAAAGCCCTTTGACCTTTAATAATGTGTGGATGCACCCTGATGTGCTACGCATTCTCCAACGCGCCTAGGCATGCTTCTGATCAGGTGGTCAATGTCCTCCTGTGGTATCTCATTCCAGGCAACCACCAACTCCTCTCGAAGTGCTTCTAGAGTCTGAGGAGGACGTTGCAAATTGAGCAATCTCCTACCCATCATATCCCACACGTGCTCAATTGGGGATAAGTCGGGAGATTTTGGTGGCCATGGTAACAATGTGACATCATTATGTTGAAAGAAGTCTATTGTGACTCTTGCAACATGTGGTCGGGCATTATCTTGTTGGAAAGTTGGATCTGCCAGGGTGTCAAGATAGGGTAAAAGATGGGGTTCTAGAACTTCGTGGATATAACGCTGCGCGTTCATGTTACCTCTCATGAAGATTAAAGGTGACCTGGAACCATAAGCTATAGCACCCTAAACCATAACTCCAACAGTGTGATGAACATGTCTTTCAACAAAAAACTGTGGATTCCTTCTTTCACCACGTCGCCTTCTAACCCTGGCACGACCATCGTGCATGCCTAAACAAAATCGAGACTCATCACTAAAGACAATA